CCACGCCCCGCCTCAAAGGGAGTAGTTTGAGTTTTCTTAAGTGACTGGGGTATCTATTATGTAGATCAGCAGATTACTAAAGCTCTGTGATTTTAAAGAGACCTAAACACAACTGGGGACCCCTCCCAACCTTCAGGCACACACTAATCTTGTTAGTACTGTCACTTCATACATGTGTAAATGACAATATTAGGGACACTTAAAGAGTTGTGGGGCTCTGTGGGACCTTGGCACATAGCTGAAGGCTACACACTAGTTGCTGGGGGGCTCCTGGGGATGTTTACATCATCACCATATTTTTCTGGGTCCCTGATTGCTGTTGGAGGATTTGGATTGCGGTTGGATGATTCTGTCGTTGCTGCTGGCTGCTGCAGTGATCTGGGTACTTTTTCAAGCTAGGTCCTCTGCATTGGTTCATGTCATAGGAAAAATTCAGTCCAGTAACTTTTAGTTCATTGGTTCTCAGCTGGGGCTGTTTTGCTCCCTGGGGGACATTTGGCAATGTCTGGATGCATTTTTGGTTGTCACAGCTGGGCAGGGGATGCTACTGTCACCTAGTGGGTAGAGGCCAGAGATGCTGCTAGGGCAGCCCCCCACCACAAAGAATTATCAAAATGTCATTAGGGCTGAGGTGGAGAAATCTCGCTTTAACATAGGTGTTTATTGAACAACCGTCCTTCCGTGAGTCCTGAAACTAAAGAACAGACTCAAGTATAGGAGAGAATATTAAAAATGAATGATACCCCAGTTTGCAAATGTACATTTTAAGTTGTCTTTTTTGCCAATTACTTTCTGTACTTAAAAATATCTTAGTGGTTTACTAGAGTATTCTTCAAAAAAAAAAGAAAAGATTAAAACTACACAAACATGATGATACAGTAAAAGCTAGTAGCTTCCCATGCTTGGAAAAGGGTTGTGATGCAGAGAAGAGGCCCTGTGTGCTGTGTTTGTTTGTTTGCTGTGGTCTAGCACTGGGTTTAGATTCTACCTGGTTAATAGAAGAGATAATGGGAAGTCATTATATTTGCATTTCTCAAAATGCTAGTCTTCCACTCACCTAATAGTCTTTTTTTTTTTTAAGTGAGAGATCCAAACCAGATCATCTTGCTTCTCACAGAATACTGAAATTTTTTTTTTAAAGGTATAGTTCCAGATTATCTTCTAGGATTCACATTTTGCTTTCTAAATCCTGTTCTTAAAAGGAACCATCTATTGACAGTGCATCATCAATTTCGTGGCTCCTCCATGACATTTCTGGGGAAGTAAATGAAAGGTGTAAATTAAGAAAAGCAAGTGTTTGTGGTTCCCACCTTAACCTTCCGTTATGTTAAATGGCTTTGCTGAAGAGGGCTGTCACTGCTCTTGAAAACTTGGGAAAATCTGCAGCAAGCTGTGCCATTAGTTGCCTTTTAGAGCACAGGATGTTTGATGTGAAAATTATATGGCCACATCTAATTGTGTGTATTTCACCCCACCAAATATCAACTAAAGAGATGACTCTCCCCCCTCCTCTGGTTTTTAGTTAAATTGTTTAACCTGAATTTCATGCTGTTAGGAATTGCATTCCAGTAATTCAAGTGTCATTTTTCAATGTCTTTTGTTTAGCAGCATGTCTGTATGACCCAACCATATAAATTTCTAGACATCTGGCGAGAGCCGGTTATCAATCCCTCCCTGACTTGGGGGATGATAAGGCCTATGACCCCTACCCTTCCCCCATAATTTACGCTCCTCCCTGTGCCCTGTGGGAGTGTAGCCAGCCAGTGGAAAGAAAACAGAAACTTTCTGGACCTCTGCTTCCTGTAAAATGGGAATAATAATTCTTATCCTGCCTGTTTCCCAGAGTTGTGTATTTGTTTCAAATAAAATGTGCTCAGAATTCAAATAGAAAGCAGTTAGACAGAGATGAGATAATGGCAGTTTTGCCAGTTGAAACTTCAGAATTTTTTAAAAATAAGTTTCTTCACATAACCCATTTAAAGTGGACAAATGGTTTTTAGTTGCAACCATCACCACAATAAATTTCAGGACATTTTCATCGTCTCAAAAAGAGCCTCCAGACCCGTTAGCTATCACTCCCCATTTCCCCCAACTCATCCCCCGCCCCCCATCTACCTCCTGTTTCTATGGATTTGCCTATTCTGGACATTTTGTATAAATGGAATAATACAACATGTAGTCCTTTGTGATGGGCT